TCAGTTTGAGTGGCGAGCTGGAACTCGGGAGGAGACAGCCTCCAAGCACTGACCCCTGGATGGTTCATTTGACCTGAGTAAGCTGACCTTCCTGTGTCATATGTGATACGGTGTAAGGCAGAATTGGCTTGTATAGTAAATCTATGCTGACTACTGCCCGTCACCTTCTTGCCCTTCACTGGACAAGTTGGAAGTTGTTTCCAGGATGTGTTGCTCTATCACCTCCCCAAGGATGGAGGTGAAGCTGGTAGGTCTAGCGAGGGTCATGGAAGGGGGCTGCACAGGAGTATGGTGTGCATTGTTCCAGGAAGGAGGAAAGGCTGGGTGCTCTTTATTTTCTCGGAATAGCAACAGGGGCAGACCAGGATGCACTCTTTTTCAGAAAAAAAAGCAACCTGTGGAAGAAGCAGTCAGTGAAACGCTCCCAAGGAGCACGAGCAAGAAGCACAGGGGATGTCCTCAAGCACATGCTCTTCTGGGTGCTTTGTGTGTGAGCAGCAATTGCAGACACACAGATGTGCAAAGGAGGTGTGCTCCATTAGCAGCCATGCGGCCAGGCATCAGGCTTCACACTCAGAAGTGCTTTAATGGGCAACACTCGCAGGAAGCCAGCAGAAGAATCTCTGAGCCAAAAGACGCGCAGGGCCGGCTTGGGCTGGGGAAGGGACGAGGGGACACGCTGGAAAGCCCTGGCCAAGCCCAGCCCATTCATTCAGCTTCCTTCCAGGCTGCGAGTGCAGGGGCAGCAGTGGGTTCGAGGTGCCCCGCAAACATCCTTTCCTGGCGCGTGACCGATGCGAGTGTGGACGGTCCCTTGGGTAGTGCCACTCGCTGTTTTGCTTCTCTCCACTCTCTGCTCCCCCCGGTGAGGACATGCAGAGCAACCAGCCCGAACAGGAGGGTCCCCATCGCTGCCAACAGCAGCAGTGCTTTGACTTGGCACAGTTGCGCTCCAGAAAGCCCCAGGGGCCTTTGCTGGGCTCTGCAGGGGCCCATGTGGAGTCCTAATTACCCTCCAGAGTCCCCTGGGGCCTCATCAGGGCTTTGCAAGGGCCTTTGCAGGGCCCTAATTACTCTCCACAGTGCTCTGGGACCACAGCCGGGCTTTGCTGGGGCCCGTTGGAGGCTCCTGCTGCCCTCCAGAGGTCCCCAAATTCTAACAAATCTAAAAGTCTAAACCAAATCCCTTTTAAGGATAAATTCACTTCTGCAGATATTCTGGAAGGTCGTATAGGCTATGTTTATTATAATCCATTGTTTCTGTGCTTTTTAGCCCCCGACACCCACATCTAGATCCTCTTCATCTTCCTCCAAAATATGCGAGAGACTGAAAAGATAATAATGAGGATCATTCCAGTCCTTGTTTTCCAGGTCGTCATCTGAAAGCTCTTTGACACAATTGGAGGGGATGAATCTTCTTCTGCTGTCCACCAGCTCTCCCATATACTAACCGTCTTCGTCCACCTGTCCAAAGACGTAAACATATTGTCCAGCACTTAGAGGAATCTCTAGTTCAGGCTGCTGACTGGGACCATCAAAAGGATCGTAGCTGTATCGAGCTATGAATGTTCGAAGCTTTCCCGGTTGTTCATTTGCATCATGCTCAGGTCCCACATAATTTAATACACTCATATATCTTCTCACCATCCCATTGTATTTAATTGTTATTACTAAATCCCTTCTTAACAAGACTTACTTACAACCTATACTACATATGTAAACCATCTTTGTACCCAACATGCAGATTTATACATTCTCATTAACTACTATTCCCTGTCCTTTAACAGATAGATATTATTCTCTTATTCCATGGGCTTCCTCCACTCCTCCAAATGTTTATAAGAACAGGCTTGTGCCCCATCTGTCAAGATGGGTGTTCAGGACAGGAGAAGCAGCATGTTCAGTTCGACGCCAACACCAGCCTGGTTCAGGTCATCGTTGCACTCACACGGTTCCTTGCTGAGCTCACTCCTTGTCAGTTCAGGTCGTTCCTGCTACATTACTTCCTACAACATACATCTCACATCACAGATTATTTTTCCTCCAAGGATAAATCTCCTCGAGGCACACACTGGGTCTCCCCATCCTTCCACGTTACCCACCAAGCACACCCAAGTCCTTGAGCAAAGAAAACCCCACGAATGGGTTTGCCTTTTCCCATGGGAGAAGCAATCCACACTGCCTTCCCCAGCCACTTCCCTTTGTGCCCTACAGGCACCTTATCTCCTCCCACGGTATGTAGGGGTTTTGTTAGGGCAGGACCAGGATGGTTAGCAGATCCTCTAGTGTTAGATAAATTTAGCCACCAGCCAAGTGGCTTCTGCTAAATTTATTTCCCAGTGCTTCCATGCCCCATTGCCCAATGCTCTCAACATAGTCTTTAGCAGTCTGTTATCTCTCTCAGTCTTTCCAGAGGCTTGTGGGTGATAGGGGATGTGATACACCCAATCAATGCCGTATTTCTTGGCCCGGGAGTTTATGAGGTTATTTTGGAAATGAGCCTCATTGTCTGATGAAATTCTTTCTGGGGTACCATGTCAAACTTTGCCTTTCAAGGCCTAAGATGGTGTTTCTGGCAATGGCATAGTTTACAGGGTATGTTTTTAGCCAACCGGCAGTTGCCTCCACCATGGTGCATATGTAGTGCTTGCCCTGGTGTGTTCGTGGCTCTGGTCCAATATAGTCAATTTGCTTGATTGTGGCACATGTTTCACATTCATGAGTGACCTGTGTGATGGCCTCCATGATCAGGTCCACCCCTTGATCATGAGCCCATCTGTACATTGCATCTCTCCCTACATGTCCCAATGTTTTGTGGGCCCATCGAGCTACCAATAGCTCACCTTTATGCTCCCAGTCCAGGTCCACCTGAGCTACTTCAATTTGGACAGCCTTGTCTACCTGTTCATTGTTTCAATGTTCTTTAGGGGCGAGGCTTTTGGGCATGTGAACATCTACATGACATAACTTTAGAGTGATGTTTTTCTACCCGGGCAGCAGTGTCTAGCCCCAGTGCAGCAGCCCAGATGGGTTTAGCCCTGCACTGCCAACTGGTCTTCTTCCACTGCTGTAGCCACCCCCGTAGGCCATTAGCCACCATCCGGGAGTCAGTATAGAGTCCTGGCCACTTCTCGTTCAGCAATCTTTAGGGCTAGTTGGATGGCTTTCACTTCTGCAAACTGACTTGACCCACCTTCTTCTTCAGTGGCTTCAATGACTTGTCGTGTGGGACTCCACACAGCAGCTTTCCACTTCTGGTGGTTTCCTACAACATGACAATCCATCAGTAAACAGAGCATAACGCCTTTCATCTTCTGATAACTCATTATATGGTGGTGCCTCTTGGGCACGAGCCACCTCCTCATGCAACGCTCCAAAATCTCCGCCTTCTGGCCAGTCCATGATCTCTTCCAGGATTCCTGGGCGGTTGGGTTTCCCCAGTTGAGCCTGTTGCGTGATCAATGCTGCCCACTTACTCCATGTCGCGCTGGTTGCGTGATGTGTAGAGGGGATGTTTCCTTTGACCATCCAATGTAGCATGGGCAATCGCGGTGCCAAGAGGAGATATGCTTCTGTATCAACAACTTCTGAAGTGGCTCAACCCCCCCCATATGCTGCTAGTATCTCTTTTTCAGTCGGGGTGTAGTGGGCTTCTGATCCTTGATACCCGTGGCTCCAAAACCCTAATGGTTGAACTCGGGTTTCTCCTGATGTTTCCTGCCAGAGGCTAAAGGTGAGACCATGTTCCCTGGCTGCCGTGTAGACTGCATTTTGCACATCTTGTCCTGTCCAGACAGGCCCAAGAGTTACCACACGAGCTATCTCCTGTTTGATCTGCTCAAAGGCTTGTTGTTGCTCAAGGCCCCACTCAAAATGTTCTTCTTTCGGGTTACTTGATAGAGAGGGCTCACAAGCTGACTATAAACTGGAATATGCATTCTTCAGAATCCCACAAGGCCTAGGAAAGCTTGTGTTTCTTTCTTTCTTGTTAGCTGGTGGAGACATAGTTGCTATCTTCTTGACCACATCCATAGGGACATGACGATGTCCATCCTGCTGTTTTATTCCCAAGAACTGAATTTCCTGTGCCAGTCCCTTGACCTTGCTTCTTTTTATGGTGAAACCAGCTTTCAGAAGAATCTGAATTACTCTTTTTCCCTCCTCAAATACTTCTTCTGCCTTGTGGCCCCACAAGTTGATTCATCAATGTATTGTAGATGTTCAGGGGCATCACCTTGTTCCAGTTTGGATTAGTCCATGACAAATGGTGGGACTGTGCTTCTACCTCTGGGGCAGTCGATTCCAGGTGTATTAGACACCTCTCCACGTGAAAACAAACCATGGCCTGCATTCTGCTGCCAAAGTAAGTGAAAAAAAACACATTGGCAATGTCAGTTGTAGCATACTACTTGGCTGCCTTTGACTCCAGTTCATATTGGAGCTCTAACATGTCTGGTACAGCAGCACTCAGCGTTGGCGTGACTTCGTTCAGGCCATGATAGTCTACTGTTAACCTCCACCCTTCGTCAGACTTTTGCACTGGCCATATGGGACTATTAAAAGGTGAGTGAGGCTTGCTGATTACTCCTTGGCTCTCCAGTTGATGAATCAGCTCATGGATGGGAGCCAGGGAGTCTCGGTTCATGTGATATTGCCCCTGGTGCACCATCCTGGTAGCAATCGGCACCTGCTGTTCTTCAACTTGCAGCAATCCCACAATGAAGGGATCTTCTGAGAGGCCAAGCAGGGTAGATAGCTGTTTGATTTCTCTGTGTTCACAGAAGCAACACCAAAAGCACATTGGTACCCCTTTGGGTCCTGGAAGTACCCTCTCCTGAGGTAGTCTATGCCAAGGATACAAGGGGCCTCTGGGCCAATCACAATGGGGTGCTTTTGCCACTTGTCTGCTGTAAAGCTTACCTCAGCCTCCAGTACAGACAATTGTTGGCCTCCCCATGTCACTCCAGAGATCCAGATGGGTTCTGTGTCCCTATACCCTGATGGCACCAGTGTACACTGTGCACCGGTGTGGACCAAAGCCTTCTACTTCTGTGGGTCTGATGTGCCAGGCCATCGAATCCACACAGTCCAGTATACCCAGTCATCCCTTTCCTCCTCCTGACCGAAGGCCAAAGCCCTCTATTCCTGTTCCTGGCTGAAGTATTCACTGTCTGACCCTTCTAGTGCCAGACCAGAAGTCCCCTCACCAGGATCAAAGGAGGTGATCTCAGTCCTTCTGTGTCTGGGAGATCCCTGGTTGCCTTCTTGTGTCTTTACAGCAACTAAGCCTTCTTGGGTGGCCCCTTCTCAACAGCTCTCTTCCCTCTCAGTTCGTGTATATGCACAGAAGCTGGCCACTTAATAACAGGTATAACTATAACATGCTTAATACAAAACTGCCATTGTTTCATGCCCCATGTTGGGTGCCAAAAAGGACTGTGGTGGGTTGACCTTGGCTGGTTGCCAAGTGCCCACCAAAGCTGCTCTATCATTCTGCCTCCTCAGCAGGACAGGGGAGAGGAAATATAACAAAAGGCTCGTGGATTGAGATAGAATCATAGAATCATAAAATAATAAAGATA